TTAAAATTTTTAACATATCATTGCTCATGATGTCAAGTGACATAACGAGGTTCAGTCTATCGCGTGAGTGTCACGTGAAAATAGAATTTTCATGTGATCTCAGATAATCATCGTCTGACTTCATGTCTTGCGTTTAATTTTTGATCTACTAATTAATACACGCAAAATGATTTATAAAACAGACAATAACGAGTTGCATAACTTTCCCGAAAACAAATTTAAAATTGTATGTGGCGCCATCTGTTATGAGATTTTATTAACAAAACTTTTTATATTATGAATTATTGTAAAATACTAAAAAGTTTAATTTTGCGGTAGAGATGAGTTTTATAAAAAGTAAATTTTAATAATGAGTAAATTCGCCATTAACTTCGATTTCACTCCAAATATGATTTTTGACCTCCCCTCTATCTCCATCTTCTCGACTTTTTTACTACCAAGATTTAATAGCATCAATGCACAAATACATACACACAAACACATACATACATATCAAAGGAATTTTAAACTTTTTTTTTTATTTTTTGGGGTTTACAGGTGTCAGGTAAAGGTGCAAAAATAACTGAGAGGTTTAAATCGGGAACTATTTTAATACTTTCTCGTGTTTTATACACAAGACGAGAATGTAAAACCAAAAACTTTCTCAAAACAAAACGATGAAATTTTTGCTTGGCAAAATAGAAGCAATAAGTAGAAGCTTCTCTCGAGTGCGTTTTTATAGTTGTTACATTTTATTGGTCATATAACCACTTACTGCAAGCTATTACATTAATGTTACGTGAATATAGAATTATCATCAAATCTATACTGTTAAAAAGTTATTGATGACTAAGAAATAGTTGAAATCCAATAAAAAAAAATTGTAGAAGCAAGTTGAAAAATAAAGCTCAGCGTAATCAACTAAATAAAAGAAGAGTTTGAAAATTGTGGCATAAAATACTAGAACCAGATTTGATAGTAAAAATCAATGTGTAAATGAAGTGCACATTACACAGACTACGACGGGAAGTTTTGATTAAACAATGTGAAGATGCTAGTTTTCTTGATTTATTAATCAAGAAAAGAAGCATCGTCACAATAAAAGGTTTCGAGATTTATTTTGTGCCTTAAAGTTCCTACACTAATATTGCTCAAAGATTCTCTAACATTCAGCCAAATTATTGTAGGTGCAACAACGTTTGTTTCGTAAAAATTTGCACATTTTTCATAATTTAATTAAGGGCACATTACATCCATCTTAGCCAGAGATCTTAATATTGACTCAATTCTTTATTACCTGAGACTTTCAGGAAAATTGGTTCAAAGTAGCTTTTCTCCGTAGATAAGTCTTTTTTGAAAAAACGCATTGTTTTTTAAAATAATTAAAATTGTATAATTCTGATTTGAAGTTAGCTAATATATAGGAAAGAGTTTTTTAATTTGTTTTTATACTTTAGAAAAAGTATTAATAAAATTTTATATAATGTGTTTGTTCAAATAGCTCTCTAGATCAATAGTTCAATAGATTTCTGATGTTATTTTTCTGCGAAAACTTCGCTGAACTTTGGAGACATCATTAATATAAATAATTTTTATCGCCGTTGAATAAGAAATGTTTCTTTCACAAGAAATGTATAAAATTACAGTGCTGTATTAGACTTACGGTACCTAATTTACATACTGTACAGACGATAGTTCGCCTAAACTTTCCGTAGCGTAGCGCCAGGCGGCAGAAAATATATATATAATTATAATAAAGTTACAATAAATTAAGTTAATATATAATTATATATACAGTACCTAATTTATATATAATTAATATATAATTATATGTACAGTACCTAATTTATATATAATACTGTACAGATGATAGTAATCTCTCCGTAGTGTGGCGCTTGATGGCGCGGAAAGTAGTTCGGCTGCCCGATGACGTTTTACGTAATTATAGGAGTTTTTTACCGTTTTTTACGGATACCGTCACAATTTTTTCGCTGTCTTATAGGAATCGTAATTATACGAACCCGTTTTATAGGGGGTCTACTGTAATTCATATAAACTATGCATTAAACAAAAAATTGTATGATTACTTACCGAATTTGCACTATTCGACGACGCCATTGCTTAAGCTTGTTTTCGTCGTGGAGCGGTGCATCGAATGGCGCTCGCGTGCTTCCTAATAAATTATTTTTCTCCGAAAACTTTGCTGAATTTGGAGACATCATTAATATAAAAATAAGTTTTATGTCCGTTAAATAACAAATGGTTTTTAGTAGATCCGCTGCTCGTTTAAACTCAACGGTTTATGCAATACCCGCTATTGGTCTAGATTCGACCAATCCTGTCGCGACACAAGTCGGCGATGACGTTTCACTGAATTATACGAGTCTCTTTTAGCGTGTTTATACCAATACGGTCGCAATTTTTTCGCGGTCATATAGGAAACCGAACTCTATGAACTCGTTTTATAGAAGGGCTACTGTATATAGTTCGGTAATATGTTCAACACCGATATTATTTAAAATTTTTAATTCTACTATGTTATATCTACTGTATTCAGTTATCACAGAGTAAGCTATTTATTTAGCTATCATTATAGGATATGCATTGTACATCCTTTAGAGTTTAGACCAGTACTAAAATGCATTTCGGCTCTCTTCAGTTAGAATTTTTGGTCTACTGANTATCACAAAATTATTACTTGAAATGTCATCAAAGTATTGTTAATGTGAAAAAGATAAATTTTTTGAAGTCCGGAGAATTTTTTAGAAAGTTCAATATATGATCAATTATTTATTGTGACATCGTCACAATGCAGGGCTGCAATTTTAAATCACATTTTTAATTTATTTAATTTAAAATATATGCTCTCTATCTCAAATTAGCAGTGTCTTGCTCCTGTACCTCATACTTTTCTATTAGCGATTCAGTCGTCTAACGCCTTTGAGAAAAAAATTTCGAATTAATCTAACGTGACTTCCGGTTTGCATCGGAAGTTATTATATAGTTAATCGGGCTTTTTGTTCCTTAGCTGGTCTCGGCTTTCATCTAACCAACTCTGTTTTCGAGATTAACGAAGGACAAATATACAAACAAACGATAAGTGGGCATTTATAGGTCTACAGTTTTTTTTCAAATTGAGGTCAAATATATATTCTAAAGGACCTTCTCACAAATTATCAAATAATATTACGAAATAATTACCTGTACGCAACATAAGAAATATACTCCTTAAAACTAAGATATAAATATATTCATAAGAACAAAAAGCCATGCTGTTATCTTGAGAGTATGATCCTTTTAATACTATTGTTAACATGTCCATTTACGAAATATATAGTCGATAATTAGAGAATAATTAATATTATCACGAATTTGCCAATGTTTACACCAGCTCGTTAGAAATGTGACTTCCACATACTGTATTTGTCCTTTTACAGGTTTTATTTAAAAATATTATGTATTCATAAGTAATTGTTCATTTTAAAATTTTTAACATATCATTGTTCATGATGTCAAGTGAAATGAGGAGGTTCAGTTTATCGCGTGATTATCACGCGAAAATAATTTTTATGTGATCTCAGATAATCATCGCCTGACTTCATGTTTTGCGTTTAATTTTTGATCTATTAATTAATACGCGCCAAATGATTTATAGAACAGACAGCAACGAGTTGCATAACTTTCCCGAAAACAAATTTAAAATTGTATGTGGCGCCATCTGTTATGAGATTTTATTAACAAATCTTTTTATATTATGAATTATTGTAAAATACTAAAAAGTTTAATTTTGCGGTAGAGATGAGTTTTATAAAAAGTAAATTTTAATAATGAGTAAATTCGCCATTAACTTCGATTTCACTCCAAATATGATTTTTGACCTCCCCTCTATCTCCATCTTCTCGACTTTTTTACTACCAAGATTTAATAGCATCAATGCACAAATACATACACACAAACACATACATACATATCAAAGGAATTTTAAACTTTTTTTTTTATTTTTTGGGGTTTACAGGTGTCAGGTAAAGGTGCAAAAATAACTGAGAGGTTTAAATCGGGAACTATTTTAATACTTTCTCGTGTNGGGTATGACTGTATTGTATATTAAGATTCCATCAATAGTAATAGCGTTTGCTGTTAAAATTTGTGATCTTACATAATTAGAAACATACTGCAAATGAATTACAACCATAGAGTAATACAGTACGTCAATTTTTTAAAAATTTTTATTAGATATAATTTTATATACTGTATTTAAATAATTTTTATTAATTTTAGGACAAACACGTTAAAGAGTAACGATACATGAAAGATAAACCCACATGCGAAAAAAAAATACTCAAGGAACAAAATTCTCATAAGTATGAACATTTGTGGCATTTTAATTATGGAATTAATGAGACTGTGAATAAGTATTCACTAACTACTGTATGTATAAAAGTATGAATGTTGTATTATTATGTAATGGATCTACTATACATATAAAAATGAAATAACACGTATAGGAAAGGAAATGTAAAATCAAAATATTAAATGCGTGGTAGCATACAACAGCTAATTGTCTGTTGATATGATATGTTTAACTTTGGTTATGTAGTGCTGTACAATTGTGTTTTAAACAGGTAGATATCATGCTGTTGTATAAGTCTTGTTATACAACCTTTTATTAAATAATTGTAGACCAAAAATTTTAACTGAAGATCGCCGAAAATGTTTTGTCCCAAATGCATTTTAGTATTGATCTAGAGGATACACTATACACATACTATAATTATAGACTAATATGATAAATGCTAAATAGCCCAATGTGTGATAAGCTCTATACATATTATACAGTTATATTAAACATTTTAATTACTAATAAGAGGCAAAAACATACTTGTAATAATAACTAAGTATTTTATTTTAACGCGAGGAAAAAAGTGGCGATAATGACAACTCCAATCCTAGTGTTAGTCAAGCGAATACGTGATCTTTTTCATTAAAATGCATTAATATCATATTTATTTTTTATTTTACAGATGGCTATTTTATACGGAGACAAATTTCAAACAGTTCAAGTCATCAAGTGCAAGTCAGTCTTGTTTCAATTTTATGTATTTATATATATAATAGATTTTAAAATGTATCAACTGATATTTTCTTTAAAAGTAGAAAAATTTTATAGAAAATTTTCGGCGCTTTCATTGGAAAATGAATATCTCGTGTAAACTTTTATTTTGATAGCTACCAAAGCCACTTTTACGGAAAATTCAATACATCTGGTATATAAATGAATATACAGAGTTTTGCAGAAACGTTTGTACAAATGTCACAGGCTCATAGAGACCTGAATGAAAAATTCGAGAACCGGTTTTTCATTAAACTTAATTAGCGATTATTAACCATCAATGTACTGTACAGTGACGTCACTTCCATTTTTGAAGTATAACTATGTAAACCGGCAAGATAATATCGCTTCATCTGTAAAAATCACAATCGTGAGGAAACGCGAATTATTAATTTTCCATTAAACATTTGACAAAATTGTATTCGTGGCACAAGTGTCTGCAATCACTCTAAACCATGTACATACAATTAGTATTCACGAACAATTACAATTATATTAGAAGCGGTATTGTTTTAGCTATATTTCTTGTACTCATACTGCAATCCTCAAATCAATTCTAGCAGTAATTTCTTCATTTTCGGTGTTCTTGCGGTTTAGGATTTTCCTCCATCGAAAATGACTATTAACTACAGGCTAAGGTATTCTTGGCTGGAATATTTATTAAATTAAATTAACTTAAAAGAAATTGATTAAATGATTAGCTTTTTTAATAAAGAAATTGTGATTAGTAAATTTATTTACTGAAATATTACATTGTTATATAGTACTTATAAACAAAAATGATGTCACTAGGTTTTTGATACTTAATTAATTACTCGCAAATTAAACATCAGAGTCAAAAACGCCCTCGCTTTTTATTCGGGTTTTTTCACCATGTGTAAGCAAATGAAATTCGGTCAAACATTTCTGAAGTATCCTGTATATTATTTAATATAGAAAAATGTTAGGACGAATGAAAATTTAAGCAGAAAGGATAAAAGTCGTTCATCAAGTTCCCTGTACTTTTTTTCAACTAGCTACAAACAAATTATCAAATTTATGATTTTAAACAAAGTGTTTTATTGGATGAAAACAAATCATTTCGAACATCAGCAAGGATGTTCGAAATGACTTTTTTTCATCAAATAAAGCGTTCTTTCACGAAAGGATAGTCCGGAATGCACTCAATGAAAAACCAGTCGTTGCATGTTTTGATTTCTGTGAGAACTAATGCTTCAATCATTTCTTCACGCCTGATTCTCTTACGTGTTGATTAGTTTACTTGTTATTTGAAATTTTAATGAAATGTATTTATTACTTCCTCATTTTGCTTTTTATTTCTATTTTTAATCATATTACTTGCAATCTAATTTAATAAAACTTCAATTCAATTAAGTTCAATACTATGCTAATATTTGTAGCCTTTCCTTTTATTCAAACGATATCATTTTTAGACTAATATAACTTATATTAATTCATTTTCCAAGGCTATGGTAGCAAACAATATCAAGGTACCGGCAACTGACAATGATTTTATGAACCCTACTAAAGACTTTTAAACAATCAGAAATCTGTCCGAATTACTACTGACCGTTTGCTTGTCTGTTTATAAGAAATTCGGAGAAAAATTAATGAGGAGTCATGAAAGGATAGTAACTCTCATCGTTCAAGATTAATCAAGTGTAAAGGGAGCAATTCTGGTGTCTTTGAAGAGAGTGGACAATTGCTGAATTCACTTCTAGTAAACTTTTGCCTTCTAATGAGAAGGTAAAAGTCTACTAGAGGTCTACTTCTGTTATTTCAAACATTTTTTTCATAGTTTTATTTAATATTTTGTATTTTTTCGCCAACGATTTAAAACTGAAACCAACTATTATATTGAGGGCATACTTCGCGAGATTCGTTTGTCTTTATCGTCTAGTTGTACTGTACATTCGATCAATTCAAATCTGGCATTCCCCTACTTTCACAATCGTTTTCTAATCTATCCATTATCCTGTAAATTCTCTTCTATTTTAAACCAGCAGTCTGAGTTTTTTTTTTTTTTTTATATCTGGATAAAGCTGGAGTCACACTTATAGATGTGACCGAAGGGTCGGCACATCTTCAATGCCCTGTCAGGATGACACCACCGTGTCTCGGCGGACACGGAAGCCGCGTTAAATAGGTCATGCGAGCGGTCGCGTAACGGAGCGATCAGATTTGGGAAAGAGGGAGAGACAGCGCACCGGAAGTGACTTACTCAGAGACGGGTTAACGTAACAACTGTTTAATGGGTAACGAGAGGCCATACAACATTTCGATTTTATGCTAGCTTTTTGATACATTTTTACGATTTGATAGATATTAGATATATTTGATATTACGGTTTTTCCGATTCCCGAGAGAGAGAGAGAGAGTTTACAGAAGTTTCACGTGCCGATAAATACCTTTTATGATATCTTGATTGAGATTCTTGACTTGAGTTGAGATTAGGATCTTGTGGGTGAGGATTTTGATCGCTGGCTTGGTCTGGATCAAGAAAGTTTTTCTAGGCACAATGGAAAGTAATGGGAAAAATCCGACAGGGTACTGATTGAGCACAGAAATTGTCACTGACACACTGAAAATTTCGCTAACTTTAATCCAAGAGGGAATGGCGACGACTGCGTCACTTTGTTGTTCTGTTCTAATGTTGTAATGTTCAAATCAAGATATTAGGTCGAAAGGTGATGAGAAAGTGTCGTTATTAGGCCTGAGAACTTAACAGATGTTTAGCTCCCAGGTGTAAAAGTTGACATTTATTTTACGAAAGTATAACTACGATGTGATATTATGATATAATGATATAAATATACTGAAAGTCTGGATTCGGATCCTCACATAGAAAAGCAAAGCTCACCTATCGGTAATGGCAATTTTCCATTCAGTGTGAATTCCGTGTTTCGCACGTAAAATCGTGAAAAAAGAAAAACGGAATAAAAAAAAATAACAAACTTTTCGCCATCTAGAGTATCAGTTTACATTACTAGCAGCGATGCACCTATCAGCGGAAGTGTCAAAATGGCAGCTGGGCAGCTCACGCGGTTTTTCGTTTCCAGCCTCAGGCAGCACAGCAGCGACATCAGTGTCATAGTAAACACGTCATTACTCCCATTGGTCAACATCTACATTTTACGTGACCAGAAAAAATTTTGCACTGAGCAGTCGATTTTCCAAAAATTTTACGGGTAAGGGACGTAAAATTTTCTGGTTTTGACTATCAGTTTACGTTTTCAGTGGTGTTTGTTTTTCTGTAAGTGTGACTTCAGCTTAACGCTCTCAACATTATTTGTATTTTTCAATTACTGTGTTTCTGTTTTCCTCCAATCGTTGTGATAATTCTTAAGAAATAACTGATAACTTTCAACTGATATTTGGTATCAGTTGAAAGCAGATGAGTTTCTTGTTCTAATTAGATTCATTCTACTCTAGCGTATGCGTAAAAAAATCCAAAAAAGATAAACGTTTAAGTTATATATATATACAGGTATTTTAAACGATAGTTACGTTCCGAAAAAGTGCCATGTTATACGAATCTGTGCTATAATATTAATGCAGAACAGGGTTACGTTCCAGAAGTTAGCAAAAGTATACTATTCCTTTTTTTTTTCTTTTTTATTTGTTACTATGTGCTGCCAGAGGCTGGAAACAAAAACCGCGTGAGCTGCCCAGCTGCCATTTTGACACTTCCGCTGATAGGTGCATCGCTGCTAGTAATGTCAACTGATACTCTAGATGGCGAAAAGTTTGTTATTTTTTTTATTCCGTTTTTGTTTTTTCACGATTTTACGTGAGAAACATGGAATTCGCATTGTTTATTAAAGCAATTGATAATTTATTTCCAATCAATAATTAATTAATAACGAGCAATTGTTTCTTGAATTTGCTTTATGTCTGGTTGTTATCTGTTAGTTTTATTAATGGCCATCAACATCGGTTGTAAATACTAGACACATTATACACAGAATAGGAAATATAGCCCGATTAGGAAATCATCAACGTTTATTCGTTTATATTAACTGGGGAATGCATTTCGGACATTATTGCCTCTCATAACTCTATACAAATTATACATTGTAAATAATTGTGCATCTTTTTAAACACATGAATATGCATACATAGATAAGAATTTCGCTTACACATTTTGATGATGACTACCTTATCCATTTTTGAAAAGCAACCGTTAACTTTTTAACCATGCAACCACAAAGGTCAACATCATTAGAACCACATTTTTCACTTTTAACCATTTCCACTTCCAAAGTACAGTATGTTTTATAGCCCCACTCCCTTTCATCCTTGTTTTTACACTTACTTAATTGCGTGTCTTCCCTCTAGTGTTTAAAATAGGTTACCAAGAACTGTGTAATTGTAAGTCATTATTATTAGTAATTTTTTCTGTTTCTTTTAACTTTATAATTTCTACATGTTCATAGTCATTTTTAAACTAATTTTTTGTGTTTTAATTATTTTAACGGAACCTTTAACAACTTCGCAATTGTTATTATTGCATTGTTCTGCAACTGCTGAGGATTCGTTATTGTACTTTTTTGCAGCAATGTGTTCTGTTATTCTAATTTTGAATTCCCTACTAGTTTCTCCTACATACATGTATGTATTAGCATAATTTCAATTAAATTTATAGACTATATTTTTCTCTTCTAAATGTCCAAACTATTTTGTTTTTTATTTACTAAGAATACTTTTATTATTTTATTTATTTCTGTTCTTTGATCACCAACGGACGTTGTGTGTTATTATATCTATGTACAATCAGAACACATTCTCTTTTATATATATGAGTACTTTATATATATATTTCATAATCTCTGGAATTGAACATAGTTTTGCATATTTTTTAATTTGTAACTGATTTAGTCTTATTATTTGAGCAAAGGATACCTCTACTAATATTCGGACCAATACGATACGCAAAGATGTGATAAAAATGTTTAAAATGTGATAAAAAGTTCCAAAACTTCTTTGAAAATTAGAGATACCAAATGTAAACCGCCTATCTATACTGTTTCTAAATTGACCGTTAGTAAACTGACTTTTTTTATAGACAATCAAAGCAAGAAATTTTCGGAAGGATTAATTTTCCAATTTAAATTTGTTAACACATGAAAAGTATAATTTCAATTTCAAATGGACGAGAATCGAAAAAAATGTAGTTAGAAATCGTTTAATTGTTGATACCGGAAATAAAATTTAAAATTAATATTATAAATAAATAAAATTCCTTGACAATTCCAATATTCGTTGGCATTAGACCGTAAAACTAATTAATTAATTGCGAACCAAAATGAATGCTAAAATATTTCTATGGCATAGTTCAATATAAACTGAGAAATTCAAAAAGGTATTTAGGAGATGCAAGTAAACTAGTTTGGTATTTTAGACGTATTTTAAAATAATACNTATTACTTATTTCATAATGGAATTTTCAATTTTAGCCGAAATAGTCGAATTTGATAATTGCGACGATCGAATAAGAGAAAGCTTTTGCCCAGGAGTAGCGAATAATTGTACAAGCAAGCATCCAGGCTATGATTGTTTATGTAATAAAGGCTTTAAGGCAATAGAGACATTTTACAAACCCGGTACTAAGTACCAGTATTGTGAAGGTAAAACTTTTATTTATCGGTTTATCTGTTTGCTGTCAAGTTTTTAAAAAATACATAGAACGTAACAGTTAAATTTTTACAGATATTGATGAATGTCTTGATGCAAATATTTGTGGGAGTAATTCGAACTGCATTAATACTGTTGGAAATTTTACATGTTCCTGTATAGATGGATTTGTACGAAACAAGAATAAAAATGAATTCGAATGCGAAGGTATCACGATATTTAATTACTTAATAAATCATTTTGAATTTATATGACATAGTACGAATTGACACGTATTATCATATTTTTCCGTAGAAACTTTTTTCACATTGTTGTTTAATTTTATGGCATTTCTTTCTTTGAATATGAAATGTTTCTTTCATCATATGTATTGCACATTCATCTCCAAAGTCTGCAATAAAAATCGTTATTTCACTAAAATAGAGTAAAACATTCTTACATAATTTAGACTAAATCATATCTAAAATAATCATTTAGCTTGCATTTGAAATGTATTATCATATCATTTTACTGGATTATTTTCCAGGGCTATGGAGTCGGTAGATTTTTATACAAGTCCGACTAGGGGCAGACTTGCTAACAAAATAGGCCCGGAAATTCTGACATCATCACGTGACCTCAGAATATAAACTTCAATAAATATAGTTCTAATAAAGATAGAGCATAGAAATTTTTTTATTCCAAAGCTAAAAGACTCCCGTAAGTAACGACATAGTCAATATATAAACATGTGTTTGATAATTTTTCTTTTTCCGGCTGTTATATATAACAGAGGAAAAGTGTAGCGATCGGTCAAAAAATGACCCCCCCCAAATTTTTACATTTTTGGAGTCAGGACACCTCGAAATGTCGAGATATGCAAAAGATTTAGATTTTTTTCTGTATTTACTGATGACTGTGTGGGGGGCACGATTTTGAATCAGAGTCGGATGATTTAACGCAGGAGTTATTAAGCTTCAAAATGGTTGCACTAAATCGTTTGGTACACATTCTAACACCCGTACTTATAGAAACAAACTCGTGCTTATACTGTAGATGTTTTTGCACTTATCTAGGTTTCAAGGATTCCCGAGTCAAAAAGAGTAAAAATCTAAGAAAATCATTTTTTGACTGTATGACAGCCGGGATCGTCATTTTTTTCCTTTCTTATGGCCCTTTACTGTATAACAGCCAGGAAAGTAATAATGATGACGATTATGATTACTTTTTTAAATACAAAATAAAACGATTTAAAAAAATTAAACAAAATTTGACACATCTTAATATATAAATTCATATTTATTGACTTGTTTGATGATGGCAATGGTATTTAGTAAGCATGTATAAAAATAGTAAATATAT